TCCATCATACAGCAGTTAGTATATTATTACAATAATACATGGCATAGAACTATAAACATGAAACCAATGGAAATGAAAAATGATATTTCAAAAGAATGGGAATATATTAGAAAGCAAATGGAAAGGTTAAATGATGTTAAACGTGAACAAATTAATTCGGGGCTCATGAATTTTAAACAAGGGGATAAAGTTTTGATTCATCTCGATTATGGAAAAACTGATAAATCAATGACAAAAAGAAGACGAAGATTTGACACAATAGCTGAATTTGTTAGATATATTAACGGCAATGCATTAGTTGAAGTTGACAATAAATTAATAGAAATTCCGATTTATTTTATTACTCCATTATATTTAAATAATATTTAATTTTTTTATTTCGTAAGAAATGAGTGACAACAAAGCATCCAAGAGTCCTGATTCAATTAAGATTCAGAGTCCAGACGATGAATATAAAAAGAAACTAAACAGAATTAAATCAAAAATATGTTATTATAAAAAGAAGCCGCAATGCGGTGGGGCCGATGCCCATAAAACTAAAGTAATTGAAAACGATAAAGAGAGGAAAGAAATAATCGAAAAATTAGAAACTTACCGTTCAATCCTTAAACTGAGTGAAGCAAAAATAAAAGAATTTAATAGAATAAATAAATTGATTGGAAGAGATGAATTTAATAAAGATGAATTTTTAAACTCAATCCAAATTTAATTTTTATTCCTCTTCGACAACGTCTCTTCGAGACGCCGAACCCTTCTGGGTTCTTCTTTCCATCATTACTGCATAACCGCATCTTCTCGGTTTTCGTGGTTTGTTGTTTTTAATTTGTTCTTGCATCATTTTTATCATTTCCTCCCTTGTTATGATTCGTGGTAAATTTTGAGCTTGTGGGGTATCCATTTATATAAAAATAAAATTTTGTTATCAGTTATTTTATCGTTAATGGTTTTTAGGTTATTCAATAATTAATTATTTTTGAATAACTGAAGGTGTCACTACGTCACCATGTGTCACCTGGTTAATTAACTTCTTTTAAAATTACTGACAACATGACATTTTGACATCACAGCAGGATTAATGCAAAAATAAATTCAAATCATACTTTATAAAGCTTCATTTACAGGTATTTCATCGTCAGTAAATGAATCATCATTATCGTTTGGTTCAACCTGTTTATATAATCCTTTCATTTCTTCTTTCAAAACATAACACCATGTTTGTTTACCGTCTATTCTTCTCTGTTTCCTATCACATTTATCCTTAATGCTCATTTGAAAGTTTTTGTCTTTCATGTCTGATGGTTTGCAGAATAGAGCATTTTTACATGTCATACCTGCACACAATTCATCATAATGTGTATTTATCCATACATCTAAAGGATTTGTTGATAATTCTATTAAATCTTGTTTGGCTTCAGTCATCGGTATGATTCGTACATTAAATGATGAAAGGTCGTAATTGATAAAATATGTTAGTAAATTATCATAAAATTCCTTTGTGCATGAATTCATCAAATTCTTGAAATAATCAAATTGACCCTTGAATTTACCATTAACCCTTAAAACTACGTATCTTCTGTCTCCAACTTCAATTTTGACAGGGTAAACGTTATTAGTTACGAAAATGAAGTTTGCAACGTTCTGAGCAGTTCTTCTGGGTTGATTCTTTTCATTAATTCTTATCTCATTATCCGTTATAATTGATTTCAAAGCGTTGAAGTTTGCGAGTCTGTCTTCACCTACATTCTTGAGTTCATTAAGTACAAGAAACATTTTATTCTCAACTACTGAATTGAAATTACCCGTTAGCTCACCTATTTCGGTAATGTTTTTACATGAATAACCAGCGAGAAGTTCAGAAATAATGTCTGTAAATCTGTTTTTACCTGTTCCCTGAAGTCCTTTCAAAATAATTGCTGTTTCATTCTTGATTCCAGGATGTTGAATCATTGATGCAATCCAGCCGAGAAGGTATTTATACACTTCATCGTTATTATCACAAATGGCTTCTTTAATGAAATTCATAAACATCTCAATTTTTGAGTAATCTGGTTTTTCGAGAATGTTGTATTTATAACCTTGAAACGTTGAGAAAACATCTGGAGAATCAGATTTAAAGCAAACACCCTTAACGGTTAATGAGGATAATTGATTTAGTAGTACATCCCATGCTGTTATTGTTTTACCTTCTTCTTTAAATAATTTAATCATTTTAAGTGACTCTTTCATGTTTGATTGAAGAACGAATGATATTTGATTCATTTTATCGTGGATATTATAGTCCTTTTGAATGAAATATTTGTTTCCACAATCTACAAAACGGATTACGCGTGATAAATCCTCAATTACTTCAGAACTGTTTTTATACTGATGATTTTCAGCCTTGCGTCTAATATCTGTTATCAAAAACGAGTCATCAAGTTTTATATCAAATGTTATTTTTGGCTTACGTAATAAAGGTAAAACGTATTCATCATAATATTCCTTTTGATATAGTTTTAGAATCTTCACTAAAACAAATGGAGAAGTCATTAAATGTGCATATCTACTACGTGCTTTTTCAAAATTACTTTTTGCATTTTCTGTTAAATTGCAGAAGTTATAAACGTTATCGTATGCTTCATTAATTAAATGATCCGGTAACGAATTAATAGCTTGAAACAGTGTGAATAATGTTATTTCTTTTTCTAAATTCATGTTTCCACCATCATTATGTACTTCAAAATCACAGATGCCATCAACTATGCTCTGGGCAAGTTTATCGTCAATGTTTACATCTTTGTTTTCATTCATGATAGTCTTTATTTCTTCGTTCTTTTGTTCAACTCTTACCTTAATATTCAAATCATTTAATATATCATTCACTGTTCTGGTTATGGTCGAGTCATAACTTCCACGAATGAATGAGTATGTATTGATTGGTTCTGTTGCATTCTTGCGAACTCTTGAATCAGCCATAACTACTAAAGAACGCTTTGAATCATCCATAGAAGTCATTATGTCAATATCATAATCATTGCAGGAATAGCATTTAATCATTCTGTTCGAAACTGAATAGAAGAAATTAGTGTTACAATAAATGTGAAGACCTCCTGAAGCGGTTTTAACGATAACATCTTTATCCGAAAGTTTTGATAAAATATCTTTTCTAACTGTTTCTTTAAGTTCATCATTGTATGATTTATTGATATCAACATCTATAATCGTTAAATTTGAAATTTTATTTACTAATAAAGCCATACCAGTTTTCCTTCCTCTTCCTCCATCGTGTTTGAGGTAGTTATGTAAATCAATCTTGTTTTCACCAATTCTTTCGTTGAGGGTTTTAGTTTCTGCCACAACTAATTCCTCAGCTAATGAATCAATAACTTTTTCATCAGAAACGATATAGTTGCTGTTGTTGTTTGTTGCTGTCATTTATATAGGAATAAAAAAATAAAAATAATTTTAAAACTAACTTTATTTTTGGACTGCATCAAATTTCCGGGCTAGTTGTCAAAATGTCATGTTGTCATCATTTTTAAAAGAAGTTAATTAACCAGGTGACACATGGTGACGTGGTGACACTGAAAACATTTACGAAATCATAAACGAAAACATTTACGATTTAATTTCCTTTATTGATGTTGTCAAAATGTCATGTTGTCAGTAATTTTAAAAGAAGTTAATTAACCAGGTGACACATGGTGACGTAGTGACACCTTCAGTTATTCAAAAATAATTAATTATTGAATAACCTAAAAACCATTAACGATAAAATATATTTTTGGTGTAAATTTTATTAAGTTCATCTTTAGTTAATAATTTGAATGGATTCGCTAATGTTCCACCTTGAGTCACAACACTTGCCCTGGCTAATTGTGAAGAACCTGGGATAAGTACTCCATGAAATGATTTCATTGGTATCATTAATTTAGAAATAGTTGGCTTAATTAATTTTGTCATTTATGATAAAAATAAAATTGCATAATTTAAATTTTTTTCTTTCTCATTTTCTCATTTTCTCATCCTGTTTTGGTTTCAGCAACTTTTCAAGTTGTTGTCTTGTCAGTAACTTTAATTTTAACTTTGGATCAAATATTGGGTTTCCATCTTTATCTCTTCCAATAACACCATATGGTAGAATCTTCATTTATACTAAAATAAAAATTTAAATTATGTCGTTCGCTCTTTTGGAGCTCAGGACTTTCAGTCCGTTCTAAAGTTTGTTTCACAAACATTGAGCGTTCATTGAACTCTATACCATGCGAATACAGTCATAAATGGTGGCATATAATCTTCACCTGAGCCTGTTGGATTTGTTGTGAAAATATGGGCATGATTTCCTGCGGTTCCACAGAAAATACCTGCGCTTGAATCTACTGGGTCGCTTGAAATATCATATCTATCCATTCCCTGTCTATCCGAACCTGCTGCAAGATTTCTATAACCTCTTTTTGTTATTGAATGTGAATGACTACCTGTTGTGTTTGTAGTTCCCGTATGAGTGTGCGGTGGAAGGTTTGCTTCTTTAATTTTCTTCGAACCTCCCGTTTGCTTTGAATATCTAGCACAGTATAAGAATTTATCTACAATCTGTTCCCAAGTACCAAAACCTAAAACTGTTGCTGGATTTGTTGAATTCATTGACGTATAAATAGAACCAATGGGGTAAATCATCTCAAGAATTGTATTTAATCCATTATGAATATTGAATTTATTATATAATATTGAATTTGGGTGAGTATTTAAAACTGGTCTTGTTATCAATATTAACGTATTATTTTTGAAAATTGCTTTTCTAACATCTTGAAATTTTGTGATTTCAGACCAGTTTCTTCCATCACTACTGATGTTTACTAAATCACCACATCCTAAAGCAATGAAATACCCATCAATATAAAATAAATTTGTAAATCTATAATTTCGAGTAAGTTTTGGAGTGAATGAATAAACCAATTCCCAATTTGATAAATCTTGTGATAAATAAATATGTCTGTTATAACTTACAGGATATGAATAGACCATATCACCTGAAACGAGAACATAAACATTTGATCCATAACATAAAGCTTCAATGTCTCCATCAGCTTGAAAAATTTGTTCAAATTGACCTTGTGGTATTGAAGCTGATCTATAAATTTTATCATTTTGTAGGATAAAATACACGTTGTTAATGTAATACCACTTACTTGTATAATCAATTTCCAAATCTGATGACATCATACTAAACATATAATAATTTATCCCATCCTCACTAATGAAAATTTGATTGACTTCATAAATTAGTACCCATTTATTATTAACGCATCTAATAGGATTATTTGGATATTTAAATTTAGCATCTTGATTTAAATTACATTTGAACCATTGGATACAATCGAATGAATAATAAGGGCAAAAATCATCTCCAACCATTATCATTCCCATAAATTTACCGTTATTATATTCAACATATAAAATTCTTGGATTAATGATTGGCTTTCGTGTATCAGGATTCCAAACAGATGGAGTAAATGATTCATAGTTTTTAAAATCATTTGTTTTAAAATAATAAAGCACTCCAGCTGTATAAAATAAATACGTGGTCACTCCATCATAACATATCCATTCAAAAGAATCCATATCAAAGGTTTTATCTGATGATTTCATAAAATTTAAAAATGGTGGAGTAAAATAGACCTCTGATTGTTTTATTTCTTCATTAACAAATGATATATCAGCTTTCTTTGCTAACTCAGTATTAATGAATGAAATAACTTTTTCCTTATCTGCTTTCTTTTCTAACTCATCATTAACATAAGTTTTATCTGCTTTAAGGTCTAAACATCCTGAAACCCATTCTGTATCAGCTTTAACTTTAAAAGTCTCCAATGTCCATTCATGATACCATTCAACCTTTTCTTTAATTTCATTATCTTTTTCATCAACATAAACCAAATTTGCCTTCTTATTTAATTCACTATCCACATATTCCTTATCTGCTTTCTTTTCTAACTCATCATTAACATAAGTTTTATCTGCTTTAAGGTCTAAACATCCTGAAACCCATTCTGTATCAGCTTTAACTTTAAAAGTCTCCAATGTCCATTCATGATACCATTCAACCTTTTCTTTAATTTCATTATCTTTTTCATCAACATAAACCAAATTTGCCTTCTTATTTAATTCACTATCCACATATTCCTTATCTGCTTTCTTCATTATGTCATTTAGGAAACCTTCTATGAATTCCTCATTTAAATTAAATCTTCCAATCTTCAAAACTTTAGGAAATGCATTTAATGCGTAATATCTCTGTTCTTCTGGTGGAATTGATGTTATATCATCCGTTATTCCTTTAATTTTTGAATTCATAAATAAAATTTCTTTTATATTTGATATCACTGCACCACCTTTGCAAACGAATTCGAAATGGTCATTTTTCAATACTATCTCCAAATCTCCATATTTCAACCTTTGCGTTTGTTCTGCCGTCTTTGAATTATATGCATATATGGCGTATGTAATGGTCTGAAGGACCTGGGCGCTTTGCGCCTTAAGTTGTTGTGGTTGCTGTTGTTTAATCATTTATTACGATTTAAAAATAAATATTTAATCCGTTATCTCATCAGCTATTTTCTATTTGAAATTGCCATAATATTTCATTCATAATTCTAAATCACAATCAAATAGGTCAGTTATTCTAAATTTAATATTTGATAAATCTTTTGAATGAAGAATAAATGAATTCCCGATAATTGAAATGGATATGATAAAGAAAATGTGTTTAAGTTGATGGATAAAATGTTTTGTATTGATGGGTAAGAGTTAGGGTCTAATGTTTGATGTGAAAATCTCATTGGGGTATTAACTTTATCACATTTGATTAAAATGAAATTGGAACCAGTGTCAGAATACAAAACATCCCCAACATCTTTTTCAAAATTTAATATCCCCAACAATGAACGAAGATGAGGAGTACAAAATTTAATTTTCAGCGGAAATTTAATAAGGTTATTTATTTCATCAAGTTCAAAAAGTTTATCAGGTTTTGATTTAAAATTTTCTTCATACCATACGATAAATGATTCATTTAAATAACTTAAAATCGTGTTAATATCTCATTTCGCTATCATATTATTTATATACATATCATACGTTTTTTCATGGTCATCTTTAATAAATGATATATAATCTGAAGGGTCTAAAAGAATGGGATTAAATTTACCACTCACAGAAACGAGAGTAACATTATAAATTCCGCTAACTGTTAAATTTAATTCACAGTTATTATTCGAAATAATATTGATAATTGACATTTTTTATTACGATTAAAAATATGGTAAAGCGTTATTTTCCAGTGATAAATAAAATTAGAATAAGATTACCTCAAGAATTCATAAATTCAACGAATAAGAAATTCATTCATGTTATAAATTTTAGTGTTTTCAGAAAATATGAGTCAGTGTCATATTCATCAACAGGTTATATTTCACTTCATTCAAATTTAGTTCAATCAAACCCATATAATGACCATTTCATAAGATTTTCAGATGGTATTAAAAATGTAATTGATAGATTAAAATATGAACAGATTGACAATATCGAATTTTTGGAATTTTGGTTTAAATATCCCGATGGAAAAAAGATTGAAGTTAAAGATAAAGCTGATACTATAACAAAAACAATTACAATGACCGATCCGGATAGTGGGGAACAAAAAGAAATAAAACAAACGATAGAAACTGGTGAAAGGTCAATTATTATTGATTATGATTCAAAGGATTATTATTCGATAATGTTAATGCTTGAATATTAAATAGCCTTAACAAAGAATTTTTCAAGTGATATTTTATATTCATCAACTATTTTATTATAAATATCATTATATGTTAAATGAAGTTCAGTTGTTGTTCCGTTCTTTGATATCTTAATTGTGCTAATATCCTTTATAGGATTTATTTTTGCAACTGTTCCACAGCATGAAACCTCATCATCTATGAAAAATTGAATCTTAACGTCTGAATCTTGAACATCACAAAGAATGGCGATAATGTGAATTAATGATTCATAAGGTAAAATAATTAAACCGGATTGGTCAATTAAATTTATTATTGAATCATAATTATTAATTATTATATCACGGTAAATTTTCATTAATTCAGAATTAATGTCTATTTTATATGGGTTCTCGATGTTTGATGAAAGAGGTGGGGGTATGTTGGATAAGTGGGAATTTCAACAGGTTCTTTACCAGGTTCAGATAAAATGATTGGGTCTCCATTCTCATGGTTTTCTTCATTCTCCTCATTCTTCGGTAAGTCACGAGTTAATAAATTTGGTTGAGTTGCTGACCTTGTTAATTCGGGGCTAACATTAACTTTAACATTTTGAATAATTCGTGATTTATCATCATTTACGTTATAACCAACCGTAATCTCTGCTTTTGCGTTAGTGTTCTTTTGACTAGTGAAACGTCTTCTCATTTATATCGAATAAAAAATATATTTAAACTTTTATTTTGCTGGAAGTTTTGAATCTATTATTCCCTGTATTTGTTCTTGAAGTTGATTTTTAGCTGGTTCATTGTAATTAATAGACCTATATATTCATTAATTGCATTCTTATAATCATCTGATTTCTCAAATTTTCTTTTATCTGATTCCTTAACTAAATCATAAGTTAAACCTCGTTGCTGATATAATGGTTTCTTAATTAAATCTTTGAATGCTTGAGATAAAGCACCTGATGCAATTCTTGCTACTATAATTGGTTGGAATTGCTGTTTAAGTTCATCTTTAACATTTGCGAAAACTGGATCGAATAAAGCAACTTTAAAGAATTTCTTAGCTGAAATTTCAGGTCTAATATTTGTATATTGACCATCAAACTGGTTAGAATATCGTGGTAATCCATCCGTCCCTCTTCAATAGCATTTAATTCTTCATTGAAATAAGAATATGGATTATAAACGGTATGAATTAATTGGACCATTTCACCTTCTCCAATGTATTGTTTAACAGCTTTTTCCATTTTCATCAAATTGCATAGGATAACGCATTATATGCTTTACGTTTAGGATAATCGATATAGTTAATTTATAACCATTTATGACTTTAATATTACCTTGACCATCAGTAACGAAAACTTCATTTATACCATCAGGTTTTCCATTTGGACCCGTAATGTCTGCTTCGTGTGCTTCCCAATTTGGACCATTGACGTTGGCATTATGCTGAGCTTCTGGTAATGTTAAAACGTTTCTCATTTGTTAACATCTTTTTGAAGACCAACAACAATATGAACTAATTCTTTCATTCCATCAGGAACTTTCATAGTTCTATTATATGCACCCCTTTTGTTGTCCCTTGTTTTAATGGAACCTGTAGAAGATTTGCTATTTCTGTCATGTTTAATTATAAATAAAAAATAAAATTAATTATAAAAAGTTAATCAAATTTAACACCTTCCTTTATTTAAATCAACTATTATTTTTCCATGTTCACCTAATTGCTGATATTGTGTGTAAAGTTCATTAATGCTCATTGGTAAATCACTTGATAAGCATAACGTTCAACTGTTGACACTAAACCCACTGAAAATGAAAAGGGTTGATAGATTTGATTTAATGTTGTTGCTTAATGCTTTGAAATATTGAACAGCCATAAGAATGAACACTGAATGTGTCGACATGAGTTAATAACTGATTAAAATATGATTTCTCATTTGTTATAGTTTTGATTCACTGCATCATCTAGAAAAATGAGTGGAATGCAAAAATTCCTATCAAAATTTGAAATAGAAAGTGTTTCAAATAATTTCACCCCGTTGTTTATCAATAATTTTATCCTCTAATCCTTGCTTCTTGATTGTATTATATAATTCTTTATACATTAAAAAGTTTTTTAAATAATCTTCTGCTTCTTCTTGTGATAAATAAATAATTGGAATTTTGATTAAATGCTTTAAAGATTCAAATGTATCATCTGAAGGTGAACCTGAACGGTATAAAATTAACACATGTGAATAGGGAAGTGTTAGCAATAATGATAATTTGTTTTAATATCGTTAATGTTTTACCTTTATTTGTTTACCAATTGCTGCATGATTGAATTTAAGTAACATTCAGAATATGGAATTTTCATTAATTTTTCCTTAGATAGAGCATTTCTATTATCACTCAATGCTCATTAATCATATCATCTACGTATGTATTATATACTCCTGCTAATTCTTCATAAGGGTGGATGAATTTAAATCCATTTAATCAAAAATAAATTTATAATTTTAAACATTTCTATTCATCAATATTCATCATATGAACTTCTATACTGCGGTGGTGTACCTGTTGGATGATATTTCAAACCTTCATCCGGTGTCCATGTCCAATATGTAGTCCTAGTAAACCAAACCTGAGGAGGATTTGTCACCTTTGAACAGTAAGTGTCATTTTCACCCTGAATGATTGGATAAGCTTCACTTGTACTGTAACTTGTGAGTTGAAAGTTTCTAATCCATCAAAGAATATACCCGCTCCATCACGTTGAACTGGAATAGTGCATAAGAATGAAGTTTGGTCTTCCATGTTCTAGCTAATGGCGCGCCATCATCATCATTCAGTGGTCTAGTTAATGAGTCCTCGTATTCTTCCGTGCATTCATTCACTCCATCTAAATCAGAAGCTGAAGCATACGTGTAAAGAATATGTCACCACTGTGGTCATCGCTTGATCGGGGAAGTTTCTGGAATCTATAGTGACCTGAAGACCTCGAAGCATTGGATTTTCTAAAACCGTTCTTTGCATTGCATTCTTCGGAAATGTTAACACAACATCTGTAACATTATGAAGCGTATGAGAAATCTGAGCTAATACCTTCAGGAGTGATGCAACCTCCATTTAGTGAACGAACGTCAATATGTTGAGCTGGAATCATGAATGGATCTTCCTTACTGAATAAACGTGGTATTGCTTTAACTGATTCTTCAATTAAACCGTATCCTGGTGTAATACATTTATCCTCTAAAACTTCCATCTTTGTGCATGAAATAATAACATTATCAACTGTTGCGTCAGCAGATGTGCGGCTAAGCTTGTAATTAATTTGGTAGGAAGTCCGATTTGTTGGAATTTGCGATCATATTTATAAACATGATTCATAATCTTTTCATAATTTTCATCAGTTATCTTTTCATAAACGTAATTTTGTAAATCAGCAACTCTT